AGTTGGTGTCATAAAAAGTTTAAGTTATTTGAAAGAAGTAGTAATAAGGGAGCAGAAAACCCAGAGGAAGCAGAGATAACTGGTCTCAGGAATCAGGGCAGGGGAACTGGAAAGATGCACAGAGAGAAGAAGAGATGAAAAAAGAATAAGAAATTTGAGAGACAGGGGCTCTATTCCTGATGTTCTAGTTTCAAATTCTGTGAAGACGGGTGCTGTTACTTCTTCTCTACCTTTGAATGTAGCAATTGTCTGTTTTGTGAGCTCCAAAATACAAGACAAGCTTGAAGAGCAGTGTTTCAAGGTGCCAAGATCTATGAGAGTGCTCAGGCAATATGGTGCTATACAAAGTCAATTGTAATTCCAAGCAATGGAAAGAAAAGCTAGTCTATTTTCAATGGAATTTGGCAAAAGAACATACAAACAAAACAAAACAGAAATCACTTAACTTCATAGCCAAGGAAAAAATGAAATAAAACACTGCTTATAATGATAAAATGTTGTAAAAATTTTAGATATGGTATCTCTGTCACCCAGGCTGGAATGCAGTGGTATGATCATGCCTCACTGCAGCCCCAAACTCCAGGGATCAAGCAATCCTTCCACCTCAGCCTCCTGAGTAGCTGGAACTACAGGTGCACACCACCATACCTGGCTAGTTTATAATTTTTTTGTAGAGACAGGGTCTCACTGTGTGAGACACACAACCAGTGTGTTGCTCACACTGGTCTTGAACTACTGACCTCAAGCAGTCCTCCCACCTTGACTTCCCGAAGTGCTGGGATTACAGGCATGAGTCACTGTGCCTAGCCTTAAGAAGAAATCTGAAATGAACTAAGTCAAATAAACACAATTTACCTGCCATTTCTAAAGGATCTGGGGCTTCCATTGACAATTTATATATATTGCTATAATACATATAAGTCAACATAGAGTTGAATTTTAAAATATCAATCCAAATTGAAAGGCTTTAATGATGTAGATCTTTACTATAGGTTTCCTTCAGTGAGTGACTCAGACATTCCACACAGAGCAAAGCTTCTTGTTAAACATATTTACACAACTCCTCATCCCTCCAAGGTTTCTTTCTCACAGAGCAGCAAAAACAAACAAACAAACAAACAAACAAAAAACCTTTCCTTCCCTCTCATCTATAAATCTACTCATGGTCACACTGCTTCCCTCTGTATTTCCTCTTCCTGGTCCTACTGCTCATACCTCATACCCTGAAGAGACCTTTCCCATGCAGTCCCCTGGCAAAAAAATCACGTTTTCGTTCTTTACATTATATCTCTAAGCTAATTTCAGCCATCCCAACCAAAATGTACATCAAGAGAGCATATGATTAAAATTAGCCAATCCTTTGTCTCTTTTCAGATTTGTCTTACCAAAAATATCAAAAAGATATTCCAATCTTAATAGGATATTGCCATATTAAAGTTAATATAAGAACTTTAGGGTTTTTTAATTTGACATCTGACAGATAAGAAAAGTGATTATCTGATTGTGTTTTCTGAGTTTTGAACTGCAGAAAACTTCTCATAAGGTTGTAAGGACATCAGATAGTAATATTAATACTCTTTTTTAGCTGTAAAACATTCTCTGGAAAATGCTGGAGAACACAATTTAAGACTGGAGAATAAGTTGCAACTATTAATAATACATTGACAATTATTTTACTGATTAGAATCTAGTCAATGTATTTCTATTGAAAAGGAGTCCATTTCTATTGAAAAGGAGTTAATTTTCATATTTTTATATGTAAGTGGGGCTATTGAAATCGTTTTGCAATTTAGCTAAAAGGCCATAAAAATGTTGCCTCATTTAAATAAAAGTTTTCTCAGTTGGATGTATGTCTCTTAAAGACTACTAGTATTGTTTTATCTGCTACATATTTATCTTTATTCAAAATTTACTCCATTTTTTAAACTTTTATTCTAGATTCAGGTGTACATGTGCAGGTTTTTTATATAGGTAAACTCTTATTACGAGAGTTTGTTGGACGAATTATTTCATCACAGTACTAATGTTAGTACCCAATAGTTGTTTTTTCTGGTCCTCTCCCTCCTCCCACCGCCACTCTCAAGTAGGCTCCAGTGTCTGTTGTTCCCCTCTTTGTGTCCAGGAGTTCTCATCATTTAGCTCCCACTTGTAAGAGAGAAAAGCAAACACAACAAAAGCAAAAATTGACAAATGGGATCTAATTAAACTTAAGAGCTTCTGCACAGCAAAAGAAACTATCAACAGAGTAAACAGACAACCAAAGAAGGGGAGAAAATATTTGCAAGCTATGCATCTGACAAAGGTCTGATATCTAGCATCTATAAGGAACTTAAACAAATTTACAAAACAAAAAAGTTAAAAAAAGGACATGAACAGATACTTTTTAAAAGACGTACATGCAGCCAACAAGCATATGAACAAAAAGCTCAATATCATTGATCATTAAAGAAATACAAATCAAAACTTTTTACTTTTTTTAAAGAATTTAAGGACAATAGAACTTTGGTCTGGCTAGGCATGGTGGCTCATGCTTGTAATCCCAGCACTTTGCAATGCCAAGATGGGAGGATTGCTTGAGGATAGGAGTTCAAGACCAGCCTGGGCAACACAACGAGACCCCCATCTCTACAAAAACTTTAAAAATTAGCCAGGCATGGTAGTATGTGCCTGTAGTCCCAGCTACTTGGGAGGCTAAAGGCAAAAGATCACTTGAGCCCAGGAGGTGGAGGCTGTACTTCTGCACTCCAGCCTGAGTAACAGAGTGAGACCCTATCTCAAAAACAAACAACAAAAAGAACTTTGGTTTTGATTAGTCCATGATATTAATCTGATTTTCCATTCAGATATTTTTTCTTCAAATTTTGTAGAAAAGTTTGAAGAATGGTACCATGAACACCCTTATCCATCCACTTAGATTCAACAGCCATTAACATTTTGCCACATTGCATTATTTGTTTTTCCTTCTATCTTTTCATTTTCCTAAACAATCTGAAGGTAAGATATAAGCATCATGACATTTCACCCCTTAACATATCAGTCCATGTGCTTTTTTAAAAGTAGAAGGGACAACCTAAGACATGGCAGGTAAATATTGTCAGCTTTACTAGAATTTAGAATACAAATTCAAGGGTTCTTTTGCTCCATTTAACCATTCAAAAAAATACTACAACATATTTATAACATGAATTAGTACCACATATGAGAAATGCTGTGAAATGTCTGATTTATCTACCTCTTTAATACTAATAGTAAGAAGGTACTATCTGTAGCATATATTTCTATATGTTGAGCACCATACTAGACACATTGCCTCTTTTAAATCTTTAAAAATTCTACAGGTTAGGTATTTTCATTATTTCCACTTTCAGACTAGTAAACCAATGAGTCTGACTCCAGAGCCTTCCTTCTTTCCACTGAACCATGGAAAACAAATATAATAGTTGCTATCAATTAATCTAAATTTATTTGGGGAAAATAATGTGCCCCGACTGATGTATAATTTGTAAAAGACACAGGGTCGTTTCAATGAATCTTTTTTGTCCTTGTCACCTATTCCCTAAAATTAATGTTATGTCTTTAAATCGTCTTAATGAACAGATAGAAGTTGAATGGGGAAATTAAATAAAGTATCGATGAGTCAGATGTGACCGATTGCATTTATTGATTTTACTTGTGACAGCATTAGTATCCTAAATAAGGGAAATGTGAAGATGTATTTCCACTCTGATGGTTAATAAGTGTGAAGATTGATAACCAATAATTGGTAACCATAAAATATTTCAATATCGATGAATTAAACCATATGAAATGAAAAAGAGCTATATGACATAAAGCAAGTATTGAGCAAGCAGAGCTCTTTAAACAAGTACAAATTAACTTAGAAATAAAATTCAGTAGTAAATGAAATGAATTATGGCACTGGAGTAAAACCTCACAGAGTTTTGAATGAACCAGTTTTGGAAGGACAATGTACTCACATTCTTTCAAACATCCTCTCACTGCAGGCACATACACGTGAATTTGTGAGCAAAAACATTCCCTGACCCTTCTACCCACAACACACATGTACAGTACCCAGGTTAGAGCTTCACCATCCACACCCAATGCCTGACTCTATACCCTGGACCTCCTGCCTGCTTCCCATGCCGTTCGCACTTGTGCCCTTCCCCTCCTTCAGCCTTCCTATCCCCTGCCTACATCTCCCTAAATACCTTCAGAGTACAAGGAATCCAAGGAGGTCTTCAGGTCTGCAGACTGCATTACCTTCATGCCAGGATATGGAGAAGGAGCAGAAATGGGAAAACAATGAGGGATTCAAACCCAGTTGTAAGCTTCTGATTACTCAGAGGATAGGAACTAGGAATTCCCACAGCTAGCTCTCCGCTCAATCCAGAATACCTGCAAGGCAGAGGCCTTGACAGACTGTAGGCCTCCACTTAGAATCTGGATCATATTTTCAACACAGGGCACATGAGACAGTTGGCCATGATCATCAAAGACCAGATGTGATGAGAGAAAGGGTTTCTGCCTTGGAGCCTGTAAAAGAAGGGTCAGGAAAAGTCAAGGGGCTAGATGTCAGTATACATTCCTCACCACGTGGCCCTGGACTGCCTGCCACCTCCACACATGCCACCCACCACCTCACTTGAAGCATGTTGGCCACAAAAGAGGTTACTTCCTCTTCCAAGATAGAAATGAGGCTCTGACAAATCATGTAGTTGACTAGGCGGGCAAATTTTCCCAGCTGCAGCCACCACGCCTCTACTTGCTTCAGCTTCTGCTCCAGTTGCTTGCGCTGTACGCTCTGAAGGTATATGGAACCTTGGCCTGTCCTGATCCTGTCACAGTTTTGCACTCGCTCCTGTAGGCCCTGTTGCATGTGGTATGTGTCCTCATGAACCTGTGAGCATAGAGTGGAAACTCACCAGAGATAGGGGAATGGAGAGCAAACCAGCCACCCGCCGGTCTGTGCAAACTCTTGGGTCTTGGAGTCTGGGACCTAGAACCTAGATGTACAGATGGAGGGTTCCTTTTTAGTAGAGTTTACCCCCGTCCCGGCATCCCCTCAATTTTTCAGATTATGAGACTGACGCGCTGCCCACTGCTCTAAGAGGGCCTCTCATCCCCACAATTTTGAAATGACCAGAGAAGATGTGAAATAGAGAACATATATTGAGAGGTCACAATATACTAATGGGGTAGGCCAGGGCTGTCTACTGAAAACCCCCTGGGTGGAACTCAAATAGAAAATGTGTGTATATGTAAATATAGAGGTTTACAATGCATAGAAGAGATAAAAAGAAAAAGATGGGATAAAAAGGCTAAACATCAATTTCAGGATATGGACTCAGGATAACAATGAGGCCAGGTGATGTGGCCTGCTGAATAGCATGATATTGCTTTAGGTTATAGTAGAAGCTGTTTCTGGGTACTGATATAGACTTTCTATTAGGGGAGAGGGAATGTGGAATAAAAGCCTGGGAGCCTTTTTGTGGGTTCTTTTCAGATCTAGGAAGTTCCTCATTCATTTTTAAAGGCTGCTGACAGTTGCCAATGCTCTGGGCTTTAACTATTGAAGAACAGAGAAGAGATACCAGAAAGCTATGCTTGGCCAGATGGATCCATTGTCTTCCCTGCTCTCCTGTTCCTTTTGATGCTCCCTAGAGCCTGTGATCAGAACTGATTGGTGTCTGTGAATTATACTTCCGGTATCCATGAGCCCAAGCCCCAATCTTCTCAGACCCAAGCATAAGACAAGTAAGTCCTAAGCATGGAACATCATACACAAACATGCCCTATGCATATGATGATTTTGTATATGAGACTCGGTGAGGTGTTCTCTTCCATGTTCTAACAATACTCCCAGTACCCAGTGCTTCCCACTTCATAACCCTTAGTCCAGCGCCTCATCATTTTGTTATTTACATAACTCATCCACTACACTGTAAGCTCCTTTAGGAGGGGAACTCTGTTATACCTTATTTCATTTTTCTATTGCTTAACACAGTGCCTGGTATGGGGTAGTTCCACAGTAAATGTTTGTAAAAAGAATGTATAATCTCACATTGAAAGAGCCTACTGAGTGCCATTAGGATAAAATCATACAAACAACAACAATAATAATTACTAGTACCACTTAACATAATCAGTAGACATTTTTAAAGCACTGGTACTAGGGGTGATAATGTCTAAATTATGAGAAAAAAATGTTTAGGATGGGCACAGTGGCTCGTGCCTGTAATCTCAGCACTCTGGAAGGCCAAAGAGGGTGGATCACTTAAGTCCAGAAGTTTGAGACCAGTCGGGGCAACACGGTGAAACCCGATCTCTATAAAAAATTAGCCAGGTGGGGTGGTATCAGCTGCCATTTATATATATATATATACATATATACACATATATAGTCCATAGAATATTTGAATAAAACAGTGAATGAGCTTGGTCTAAAACATATTTTCTTAGATTGGGTTCTCTAGAAGCAGACCCCAAGACAGGGATTTGGAGAAATGTGATTTACTGTAGGAATGATCTTCAGGGAAACAAGAGCCTATAAGGGAGTGAAGAAAGCAGAAAAGAGAGGTGGGAAAGTACCCAGCAAGATCTCAGCTAAATTCTATTTTTGGTCTGATCTGGAGTAGGGAAGGAGGCTTTGGAATATTCCAATAGTATTGTAGAGTTGTCATGCCTTGAAGCAAGTAAGGGGAAAAAAAGGCTGAGGAACTGCTCCCTGTGAGAGACCACTAAATTCAATACGTATTTCTGGTTTGGAGACTGAAGAATGAAAAAATATAGTAATAAAGGACCAAATTTTGAATAAGGATAGGAGATTAGATAACAGAGTAGTATCAAAGTGAAATTTCCTAATCTTTGATCATTGTAGTATAGTTATAAAAGAAAATGTCCTCGTTCACAGAAAAAATCATATTGTTATATGTAGGGGTTGCTATGATTTGAATGTGTCTCCCAAAATTCATGTGTTGGAAACTTAACTGTCATAGTAACAGTTTTAAGAGGTGGGGCCTTTAAGAGGTAATTAGCCATGAGGGCTCCACCCACATGAAGGGATCAATGTTTTGATCGTGGGAGTGAGTTAGTTATCATGGGAATGGGATCCTGATAAAGAGGATAAGTTTGGCCTGATTTCCTCTCTCCTCTCTCTGCCTCCTATTCATATCTCATCACTATGTGATACCCTCCACCATGGGATAAGACTCTCGCCAGATGCTCTTGAACTTCCCAGCCTCCAGAACCATGAACCAAACAAATTTTAATTCTTTGTAAATTACCCAGTGTTTGGTATTCTGCTATAGCAACAGAAAACAAACAAGACAGGGATAAGGGGACTGATGCCTGCAGTTTACTCTCAAATGATTTAGAAAATAATGTATGCATGTTTAGAGAAAAAGAAAGAGCATAAATGATAAAGCAGTGGGAAAAATAACAATCTATATAAAGGGTATGTGAGAGTTTATATACTATCCTTACAATTCTAATAATTTTGAAATTATATCAAAATATAAAATCACAGAAGGAAAAGAGGAGGGAAGGAAGGAGGGAGGGAAAAAGGGAGGGAAGGAAGGAAGGATGGAAGGAAGGAAAAAATGAAGGAAGGAAGGAAGGGAAGGAGGGAGGGAAATGAGACAGAGAGGGAGATGAGAGAGGGAAGGAGGGAAAAGAAAAAAAATATGTATTGGTAAGAATGAAAGACAAATGAGGCTAGATGAGGTGGCTCACGCCTGTAATCCTAGCAGTTTGGGAGGCCAAGCAGGTGGATCACCTGAGGTCAGGAGTTCAAGATCAGCCTGGCTAAGATGGTGAAACCCTGTCTCCACTAAAAATATAAAAATTAGCTGGGCATGGTGGCACACACCTGTAATCCCAGCTGCTTGGGAGGTTGAAGCAGGAGAATCACTTGAACCCAGGAGGCAGAGGTTTCAGTGAGCCAAGATTGCACCATTGCACCCCAGTCTGGGAGACATTGCCAGACTATATCTCAAAAAAAAAACAAAAAACCTTTGGCTAGAGTCACTGGGGGAAGGTGGAGGAAAGGAAAGGCACCTAGAAATTGACATCATTGATGGGAATGTAAACTGGTACAACCACTCTGGAAAACTGTTTGGCAGTGCAAAACATACATATACTCTATTCTAGCAATTCTACTCCTGGAATATATACCCCCCAAAAAATAAGCACTCATGTCTACCAAAAGACATATACAAGAATGTTCATAACAGTATAATTTATAATAGTAAAAAACTGGAACCAACCCAAATGTTCACAATAGGAGAATGAATATATAAATTGGGGTCATTCAAACAGTGAAATACTATAAAGCTATACAAAAAAAGTGAACCACAGCTACCTAGAACATTATGGGTAAGTCTCACAAACATAATGTTGGTGAAAAAAGGCAGGCAAAAAGGGGCACATACTGTCTAATTCTAGTTATATGAAATTCAAAATGAGACAACATTAACCTGTGGTGACACAGGTCAGAGAGCTGGTTACCTTTGCAGGGCTATTAATGAAAGAGGCACCAGGGAGCTTGCTGGGGTGCTAGAAATGTTCTCTATCTTAATCCGGGTATACAAATGTATGTCAATACAAATACAAATGCAAAAACTTCAATAACTGTATGGCTGAAATTTGTCTACTGTATATGAACTATACCTTAGTATAAAAATTAACTACTGAATTTCAGAAAGTTACAACTATTTTTGTAACATTAAAAACAAAGGTGGGATTGAGGAGCTGAGAGGTAGAGAAAGGCTATGGAGCAGCTCACCCCCCATCTCCTGCCTCATTCTTAAATATTTAAGATCTCAACCAAGAGCAATCAACAGAAGTTATTACTTCTTTCTAGGAATAGAAATTCCTTGAAGTCAAGGCAAGAGACTTCAGAGTTCTGTCCTTTGTGATTAACCTCCTCTGATGAAGTTCAGAGAAACATGTAGAAGCCAAAACGAGGCTCATGCCAGGCAAGGTATGCCTCCCTCACGTTAGTTATTTTCACAAATTCTGAGTGGGCCTCCTCTCTCAGAACTGGACTATTGATACATGGTAATTAGCCATAGTCCTGTGTGAATATCCAGCCCCACCTGATAACAAACCATGATAACAGGCCATGGGCAAAAGGCATATACACAGGAGGGCCTCCCAGAACCCTAGGCAGGGAATGTACATCATAGATGGAAAGTATGCATAATTAGGAAGGACTCCACCATTGCATCCTTCTACTAACCACAGTGGCCTCCCAAAAGTTCAAGACAGGTTCAAAGATAAGCTCAGCAGCATAAAAGACCAGGATTCCTGTTCTCAAATTCCCTAATTCCCAAAAGTCAGCACAAACAGACAAAACAGACATTGTTACATTCCTTCTCCTCCCTGCTCCTAGGTCAAGATCAACCCTTAGAGAAAGGTCAAGTCCAAGCCTCTGCATACCTGTTATTGATTCATCCATCCTCAAGTAGAAACTGCTGTGGCTGGGCAGAAAAATGGCTGTGATCCAACTGTAGAGTCCAGGTCACACAGTGGATCCCAGGAGAAACTTAACTAAGAGGTGGCTGAAACTCTGGGAGCTCAAGTTGGAGAAAAGGTCCACAGCAAAGTAGGGCCTCTTACCAGTCGAAGAATGGATGTGCAGAGGTTCAGGCAACGATGGAGCAGCCGTACAGCCTTATGCTTCTCCTTGGCTAGAGCTTTCTGCAGGTCCTGCAGCTCATAGCACCGATCTAGTTCCTGGGGTAGCCAGGACGCAGAGCACAGCTCCTGCAGAAGCCTAGAATCAAGTGCTAAGCTGATCAGAGCTGGCATCCCAATCATTCCTTGGATACCTTTGATCTCTTCTCAGCCTAGCTTAGCTAAGACTGAGCAAATATTTATAGAGATTGTAGTATTACCAACAGTAACCAATAGTCTCAGCACCCTCTCAAGAGTTTTTTGAAAGAATACAAGCCCAGAAAGCTGCTTTCTCAACTGTACAAGCTGAGAAAATGCTTGGGGTGTGTGTAAG